GTGAAAAGAGGAACTCCTCCAACAAAACGGATCGGATCGATACAGTGGTCGCAACAAGGAGCTCGGACATGCCGATAGGTGTGAGGATGGGGTAGGACGTGGCGGTGGTTCATTCCATTGTACGTTGCTTTGTGAGCACATCTAACAACAATAACAAGGAAGGCCATACACGAAAACTCAGGACAGCATTCTGCTTTGGTCAACATGCTGAATGTCAAAGATCGCATTCTGCAAAAAGTGACAGACAAGTGCTGTTTTCTGTGTGTTAGGAGTGCAAGGTTGGCTTAAATGCTTAAAGTAAAACTGATGGCAGATGCTTGATAGGAAGCACCTCTTCAGAAACATAACTGCTGTTAACTAAAATAGCTGCTTTCTTTTATTGAAGGATAGGTGGCCCATTATATTCCAAGTTTGGACAATATTCTATCTTCATCTTTTGTCCTGGTAGCCTCTTTTCACTCTTGAAGTTTTATAGTTTGTTTTTGAGAAAGAACATGACCATGCTTCATTTGAGGTTATTTAGACCCAAAGAGACTGCATGATTCACTTAGGTAACCCGAATCCTTAGAGACAGAACCCAAAATTGAACAAAATAGATTTTAAACATCAACATTTCTCATATTTATACCATATAATTGAAAGATATAGTGCATAATCAAAAGTGATAACCGAGTATATGGATGAAATTTGCAAGTGTAACTAGAATACAAGTTTGTACAATGTCAATTGAATAGAGAGTTCAAAATGGGGAAAATGGATCGGAGGGGAGGGTAGAAAAAAATTTTAAGGAGACAAAGTACCATGCTAGGATATATCGTTAATGAATGCTTCCATACTTTATTGCAATATTCAAAGTATTTTGATGAATCCTCAGCGGGACATTTTCTGTTTTAGACACACTGTAGACAGGACAGTATGGCTTATGGCTCAGTGATTAGCACAGGCCAGCTGTTCGAAACCACCAGCCCCTACGAGGAAAGAGATGGTGTGTTCCTACTGCCATAAAGAATTAAAGTCCAGCCAACGCATCGAGGCCGTTCTACTTTGTCCTGCCAGGTCCCAATGAGTTGGCACCAACTCTGCGCCAGAGAATTGTGAGGTTTTTATAGTCTGGACAATTACAAAGGGTTATCTTGTGAGAAGGCATCATGATTCTAAAACTCCAGTGGATATTTCTTACTTGAGAAAGCATTGATAAAATGCAAACATATGAAAGAACCGCCCCCCCCCCAAAAAAAAAAGCTACCAGACAAGTTGAATGCATATCATATTTTGGATGGTCACTCTGACTTTGTCATGATGTTGTTTATTTTTCTTGTTAGAATTTTTTTTGTCTTCTGTTTGCCAGCTGTTTGTCTTCCTACAAGATAACTAAGTTTTTCATATATTTTTAACATTCGCTGAATTCATTGCAGTTTTAAAGGGTTCATTGATATGTGTGTTTTCTATTTAGTACACAGAAACCTCTTCTGCTGTTGGATAAGTGTCTGCACCTTTAAAGATATGTATCATCAGTCAGCAAAGTGGAATAAACGGTGTTCCCACTCAGAACAGGAGAACCAGGCATCCCTCTCAGACACTTCGGTTGTAATGACGTCTCCCTTTAGAATGGCCGAGTATTCTGACCTTAAATCTCAGCATTCCCTTTTGCAGTAATTTCACCTGAGTATTACTGTGTAGGTCATTTCTTTGTCCATCTAAGAGCAAAAGCAAAAATGTCACATATAAAATGCAAATTTCCATCTTAATTTTTCAGGACTCTCATACATGATTCAAATAGGCTCTTTCTGTTTTGCTCTAATTCTTCTGCCATCTTCATAGGTGATGAACTGAAGGCATTTAAGGAAGCAAACACCATCAGATTTTAAGAATATTCAGTAAAAAAAAACCTGACCACTTATAAAATTAATTGAACATAAACACATTTCCTGTCTGACAGCAGCATTGATCACTGTCTATTAAATCAATGGTTTGTATTTGTTCAAAGAAACAAATTCAAAGCAAATATGACTCAAAATAGTTGCCATGTAAAATGACCTCATTTAGAAAATGTATTAGATTGATGTAAATAATAAGGCTGCTGATGGTGGAAAATGATTTCATCCTCAAAAGCAGTGACTGATGAACATATAGAAGAGATCAACCAGTTAAAATAACAAATTGTAAGGACGCTGACACGTTTGATAAAAGGTGCTTGAAAAGATAGTGATTCGAAAAGAGTAAGCTAGTCTTTGAGGAAAAGATGAACTCCTTGAATTTGTAATTGGCCCCTTTTGGGGATGCTACCACATTAAACATAAACGAAGAGCATCATAACATTTGTCCCTATATAATGTTAGACAGTAAGATGTAATTTGAAAAAAAAAAATTACTTAATTCAAGAGTCTAAGAGTATGAACTCTGAAAAAACACTGCACACAATTTCTAAGGACTTGCTCTGTCACCTATAACTGTATTTTTTGCACAGCATGTTATAGGAGTTAATTGAGGTAAAATAGGTAAATTGTGAGGAATGTGCTGGCCACATTATAATTTACATGGCCTTGACATTATTTTGGCTAAAAAAAAAGTAAATAATCACAGCTTTACCTTAACTTTTATTCAATACAAATTTTTTCATATTTTTAATTATGTTTAGTGAAAAACTAGTGATAGCTGTTTTTTAATGCTATTGTATTTTAAGTCCCTCATAGTAACCCTGTAGGATAAGATAGAACTGCCCCTGTTGGTTTCTAAGACTATAACTCTTTATGGAAATAGAAATACATATCTTTCTCTCACAGAGAGAACTGTAGTTTTGAACTGCTGACCTAGTGGTTAACAGCCTAGCACATAATCGTTATACCACCAGATATCTCTGTTATTCCATAATATTTTTGCCATTATAATTACTGTATATTTTCCATCTTGATAATATTCAAGTAAAAGCATATGTTTTCAATAATAATATGTTACCTATTGTTGAATAACCCAGCCCTGGTTAAAAATAATATTTTGGTATTACTTATTGTTTTCATTTACTAGTGCTGCCATAACAGAAATTCCACAAGTCGGTGTCTTTATAAAAACAGAAATGTAGGTTCTCAGATTCCAGAGCCAGTAAGTTTAAATCAGGGTCTTGTATATGTTGTTTCCTTCCAAGTCTGGGTTACAGAGTTTAGCTTGATTCTTTGGCTTGTAGACAGCCTTTATCTGACATCTCTCTTCTGTGTGTTGCTGTATATAGTCTGGTATTTTAATAACTTAGAAGTGATTAATTTTAGAATCTAATTTACATTGGCATGACCTTTAGCACTTAGTTCACATATCATATACTTCAATAGATCAATTACATCACAAAAAGTAGTACAGTCACTACCATGATAAATTTTAGAAGAGTTTCTTCATTTGTATATTCGTTATTATTTTGCATTGTAAAGTTTATTTGGGCAGATGCCGTTAGGTTAAAATGTAATATCATTTGATTTCCCTTTTTGAGATATTTTATAGTTGTTTCTGTTTTAAAAAATGAAGGAGAAATATAAATTGATTAAGCCTCTAGTAAATCCCTTCTGATCATAGACCAGGGATATGAATAGCCTTGCTATCATGAAGAATGTATGTTATCCAAAGTCTTAGAAAGTCACAGGGGCAGAATCACCCTTTCCTATGTGTCACTATGAGTCTTGTGATTCTGCAGTGAGTTTCGTTTATAGCGTAAATAATGACTCTATGTAATCACCACTGTGATATGACCAAATCATTGTGATTACCATATAAACTCGAGTATAAGTCGAGTTTTTCAGCACATTTTTTATGCAGTTTTTGTGCCTCGGCTGATATTCGGGTCAGCTTATACTTGAGTATAGACAGTATATTACTTATAAAAGGCATAATTTGACATTCAAAATGAAAAAAAATAAATAAATGGAAGCGCTCATTAATGTTACCAGTGAAGGAAAGTGAAGCTCTGACTAGGAGCTTAGTTCAGCAAACCTCACCTTACTAGGGATGTTTTGATAGTAAGTATATTGGAAGTATATGCTCAATTTGAAGACTCGCAACCTATAAAGCTGCTCCAAGAGACATAGAGGTTAAAGCTCTGGGTGGAATGAAAGCAGTATTAATGGAATGTATGCTTATTATTTTTTAATAAATGATTCCAAGTCTATAACCTTAAGTAATTCCAGGAATTTCCAACTTTCTGCTTCCTGTAAGTAGATTACTTCTTCACCAAGTCAGCATTGCGAGTGGAAAGAAATTATGGATACGAATAAGAACAGAGCTGACCTTTGTGATATCCCCAGCATGTTGGTCAAGAATCAAAGCAGACAAGGCAGCATGTTCAATTTCCACTTGCCCTTGCTCATGTCCAAGGGGATTAAGATAAGGAGTGGACATCTGCTCCATTAGGCTATACCGTTTACTGTTGTCAGGTGCCAGGGGATGGATTCTGACTCATAGGGACCTTATGCACAACAGAAGTAAACGCTGCCCAGTCTACCGCCTCCAAATCCCTTCCCATTCCTGATGTTTCTGGGAAAACCACAGAAGCGCAGAAACAGTCTTCAAAATTTTGTGACTTCACTTTTTAAAAAGGAGTCTTATAAAGTATGTTATAACTCTTTAGAAACCTATTAGTAACCATTCATCTTTTATTAATTAATAAGAGGGGTGCTGCACAATTAACTACTCATAGTTAATTCACAACCCATTTATGCAAATAATTAGAAATGTAAAAGTGCCTTTTTCTAAGTCTCCTTTGGACACGAGCTGCATTCTCTTGGGGCCTGTCTGAAGTCTCAGAGTCGATTATTCAGGACCTTTTTCTTCCCTAGTTGCAGTGAACAAAATGATTTCCTAGTGTTAGGAAAGGTCTTTGCACACTCCTGTTATTAGGAAGTCATGAATGCAAAAATAATTGGATTCATCCTTCTTCATTCGAGGAGATAAGTTATTTCTTCAGCCCCTGCCTTTCTGACTGGAACTGATCATATGACTGTATTTCTTTGTATTTTCAGCCTTATGTGGAGGAGATGTGAGAGGCCCAAGTGGAACAATCTTATCTCCTGGCTACCCTGAATTTTATCCAAATTCTCTGAATTGTACATGGACTGTTGATGTTACCCATGGAAAAGGTAATATGCCTCTTGTGATGATAATTGGGTTATGTCCTGAATTTTCATTGTGTCTATTTTATTTCTCTATGTTCTTTACAATATTTTGCATGAGCAGAGGCAGATCAAGACTAATTTATGTGATAAATAAGGTTCAATTTGAGTAACTGCTGTAGAGGATTCTATTTACTTTTTTTGTATTATAATATGTTTATGGTTTCATATGAGGTACTAATTTTCTTTTGCTATATTACACTAATGTTATTTGTAATTTTTGTACCAACAAAGCATCAAAGAGAATTGCTTTAGTATTTGGCAGTGTTATAAGGGGGATCGCAAAAGTAAATATGGGAAGGCAAAGGTGATATTAGATGTTTATGCCAATTGTGGAACAAAATGTTTATGTTTATGTATTACAAATATATTCTCATGTATTTCTTTAATCATTGTAAAAGTACTGGTGTCTCTAATTCCATAATACATAACAGCATATATATTTTTTTAAGATTCAAATAGGGCATACAATTTTCTTGTGCATACAATGGATGTTAAAAAATGTCCCTTCCACCAATAGCTGCAAGGCCCTGCTGTTCTAAAAAGGTTCATATATCCAATCCAGCAAATCAGAAATATAATTCAACCAAAGTAATTTGTGAATGGGAAAATAGTCATCATGATACATCAAAATAAAAGATCAAGTTTATTAACCTGGAATGCTCTTTAAAAAGAATTTATATATGTGGTGTATGTGTAGTTTTTTTCAGTGCTGTTGTTATATTGCTCTACTTGATATTTTTACAAAGAGAAAATGTAAAAAGAAGTCATACACACACAAAATAAATAATGGATAGCAATTTGGAGAGTGTGGTAAAGTTCTGAAAATGAAAGTTGTGCTTTACAAATTTAAATTAATTAAGTTGTAGTGAATGATTTTTTCTTTTGATGAAATGATCCATCATTTCTCTGGGGATGGGATTATATCACGTGCATTGTATTTCGGCGTTGATGGAGTAATCAGAATGTAAGGAGTACAATGAGGCTCTCTCCCCCGTGAGGGGTTAGACTCAGGAGCTACCAGGGCAGTTCACTGTCTCCGCTCTACAGGGTCAGTTTGAACTGTTATGATTCAATGGAAGTGAAATTTTTGTTTGTTTAATTAGAATATACTGAGGGAAAATATGGTTAATGGTTATTACAGTACTAAACAGATGGAAGGAGGAAAATCCTTGGTCAATTGGAATGTTGTTTCTTTGTAATACAAAACGAGAAGACCTGGTGGGTTACAAGATGGGCTGCTAACTGCCTGGTGAAAAGTTGAATGCAATGGTGACTCCAGAGGAGAAGGATGAGGCTTTCTGCTCCCACAAAGCTTGCCAGCTTAGGAAAACCACAGGAAAGTTCAACCCGTCTTTTCAGGATCACTGTGGGTCTGAATCAAGCCAATGGCAGTGAGTTTGGGTTTTTTGGTTTATTGGATGGACATTAACCAACCCACTGCTATTGAATTGAACTCACAGCAACCTGACAGGACAGAATAGAACAGCAATGGGGGTTTCCTGACTGCAAATATTTACCGAACATGCTACATCTCTCTTCAGTAGAACAGTTTATGGGTTCAAACTGCTGCCCTTTCACTTAGCAGATGAATGCTTTATCACCGAGCCACCAGAGGCCCTTGTGGAAGGTAACCAAATCATCCTAGGACTCCCAGGTGTAGTGCATTAGTAGAATTTAAAATACACTCCTTTATATATATAACCCAAGAAAATGGAAGACTACATGTTGCTTGCTATGTAAATATAGGTTTAATTAACACATTCGGTTTTGCATCTTTGCAGGTTGCAAGTGTTAATTAAATCTGTATTTGCATGGTGGGGAAGGCAGATTTCCTTAAAGAGATAACAAAGTCAATTTGAACTACAACTAATTCAAAGCATAGTCAAAGTTATGTGAAGGGTAATCTCTTAAAATCAGGAGGCAACTTGCAGGTAACTTTTTACCCATCACACCAATGCTCTCTAGAGCATTCCATAAACTTGATGAACTTGCCTGATTTTAGTAATTCCACGATGCAAAATTAGAACTTAGAGGAACCTCCTAAGTGCTAATATACTAATTCAAAGGTTTCAGAAATTACTTGACCATTGGCATTTCTATTCTGCCTTCTGGAATTATACAAAAAACAACTCATTGCCTGTTCTAACCAAACCTCAAATTCATCAAGCCACTATTCTGTGAGCAAGTTTTTTCAAACCCCCAACTCCTTACTTTACCCTAAGCTTTTTTTCTCTTAAACTGAACACTCCAAGTGCCTTCAATTATTCGTCACAGGCAAGATTTTCATTGTCAGCACCATTCTAATCACCTTTCTGCATTTGTGTTCCAGCCTGTGTTCAATAACCTTCTTAAAATGTAGTTTGCTTGAAATAAACTCCGTATGTTATAGTCAATCACTACGTATTTTATTTCTGTTCACGGCTCCTAAGTTCTCTTTCATTTAATTTTGTCACTGCTACGTCATAGGATTAATGTATAAAAGAGATGCTGTTATTGTGTGCCATTGAGTTGATTCCAATTTATAGTGAATTTATAGGACCTAATAAAATTGCCTCATAGTGTGCTCTAGGTTGAAGTATTTATGAAAGCAAATTTTTAGGCTACTTCATGCAATGATATTGAGTGACCTTGATAGCTACAGTGTGGATAACATGCCACCGAGGATTCATGGAACATGTAGCAAATTAGGTAATGTTTCAAAAATGTATTACAACATTGAAGTATTGTAATTAATTCCTAAATTGTATAATTATGAAATTAATTTTTTATCTTTTTATACACTTTTATAATTCTGGCCAACATACATTTTGGTGCCTCAAATGTTAGACATGTTGGTATAATTGGCCTGCTAATTACAAAAGTGTTGCCATTATTCCCCTATCCATTCTTTTTTTTTTTTTTGCTATCATTTTTTTAATTAAATACTTTTATTGGGGGCTTTTACATCTCCCATCACAATCCATACAATCGTCCATTGTATCAAGCTCATCCACACACATGCTGCTGCCATCATTTTCAAAGCATTTTCTTTCTACTTGAGCCCTTGATATCAGCTCCTCATTTCTCACCCTCCCTCCCTCATAAACCCTTGATAAGTTGTAGATTATTATTTTCATATCTTGCAATATCCTCTGTCCCCCTTCATTCACTTTTCTGTTGTTCCTCCCCCTGCAAGGGGTTATATGTTGATCCTTGTGATCAATTCCCTGTTTCTACCCCACCTTCCCCTTATCCTCCTGGTATCTCCAATCTCAATGTGGGCCCTGAGGAGTTTATCTATTCTGGATTCCCTGTATTGTGGCTCTTATCTGTAACAGTGTGCATGTTCTGGTCTAATCTGATTTGTAAGGTATAATTGAGGTCATGATAGTTGGGGAAGGAAGCATTAAAAAACCAGAGGAAAGTTGTGTGTTTCATCAATGCTATACTGCACCCTGACCAGTTTGTCTCTTCCTTGTGACCCTTCTGTGAGGGAATGTCCAATTGTCAACAGATGGGCTTCGGCTCTCCAGTCCATGTCCCATACCCCATTCACATTGGGTATGATTTTGTTCTGGGTCTTAGGTGCCTGATCCCTGATCCCATCACCACCTCATGATCACACAGGCTGGTGTGCTTCTTCCATGTAGGCATTGTTGCTTCTCACCTAGATGGCCATTTGTTTATCTTCAAGCCTTTAAGGGCCCAGATGCTATATCTTTTGATAGCTGAGCACCATCAGCTTTCTTTGCCACATTTGCTTATGCACCTATTTTGTCTTCACTGATCATTCGGGAAGGTGGACATCACAGAATGCCAGATTATCAGAACAAAGTGTTCTTGTGTTGAGGGAGTACTTGTCCACTCTATTTTTTTGAGATACAGACATATGCCATATAGCACTCTGCTCATCAATAAAAACTCTGGGAATTTTAATGTAGTGTTAGCTAGCCTGAGATAGAGGTAATGCATGCTGCTTCATTACAATTAGTTTGGGTTGTACTTAACACTCAGGTCAAGTTGTACTTCATATTGTGTCCTTAGATCTAAAGATATATTTGAACAGTGAAAATTAATGAACTTGGATTTTTTTCTCCCAAGCATCATTTCACCTTTTTTAGGAACTGATGAACAGATGGTTCCAATGTGTCATCTTAAGAAGGGGCCAGAAATAAAAGTTGCTGTACAATAAAATAAATAAGCTTGGTGACTTGGTGAGGCATGTATCTGGGTGCTAACCACAAGGTCATCTATTTGAACCCAACAACTGCTCTGCAAGGGAAAGGTGAAACCTTCTACTCCCATAGAAGTGGATCTATATCCTTAGAAGTCCACAGGAGAATTTTCACTCTCCTGTGAGGTTGCTATGAGTCTTAACCGACTGACTGGTAGTAAGTTTAGTGCAATAAATAGAGATGCAAATCTTCTCAAGCCCAAAATGAGTCTGTCAGAGTTCAAACTCCTTTGTTAAAGTTGAATGTTTCTGTTTTACTATAAGATGACACAATTTCTCTACCTGTGCACAGAAACCCTTAAAAGAATAGTTAGAATTTTTCTTATAAAGAAATGGACTCAACCTCATCTCTGAAACACTTATGAATTATCCATTGACTTCTATATAACAAAATGTATTCTGAAATGTTTACTGCATACTTTGAAGAAGAAAAATGTATATCTTAAAATATTTATGAAAATTGCTATGAATTCTTTTATTTTCACAACTCAAAATTGCCTTCACATCTTCCATATATGTATCTTTTTGGTTTTCTGTTTTCTTTTCCACTATCCTCCACTTGGGTTTCGGCTTTGCAGTATCCCGTTTTTAGTCTCTCCATATTGCATAGACCTGTACCCAAACCAGAAAACAGCCATCTAATTGATTTTAATTCAGAGTGACCCTATGGAACAGAAAAGAACTGCCCCTTTAGGTTTCCAAACCTTCAAATGTGAGTATTTTAAAGGCGTCAGAGTGACAAGTGGGCTCAAATCACTGACCTATGGTTGGCAGCTCAATGTGAAACCAACAAGCCCCCATGAGTCCATATGTAGAACTTTCTTTTTAGCACACTTGTAAATAGGTTGCCATCACCATTTCCAAAACATTTTCTTTCTACTTGAGCCCTTGGTATCAGCTCCTCTCCCCACCACACCTGATAGAGCTTCCTTTGAGTGTCTCTTATTACCTAATTCTTTTTCAAATATATCTTACCTTTTTTTGCCTTATCCTGTAAAATTTGTCTTCATTTTCTCATGTTTAAAACTAGGATAATAAATTAATAATTTAGTATAACTTAATAGCATAAAATATTGTGGAACACCAGACCTAAGAAACTGGAGCTGATATAGTCCAATGCAGTTTTCCGAATCAGAGCCCCCAATAAATCCCAGGAAGAGACCCAAAACAAGACACCAAGGAAAAAAAAATGTTTGATGTTATTGGGCTGTTTAATTATTCCTGTCATTTTTCACCATATTGGTTTAGATCAAAAAATCCTCTGATACCATCCTAAATCTGGAGTCTTAGCTAGTATTCAATGAGATATGCATTTGTTTATTACAATATATTTTTGGTTGTTTTTAAAGTGTTTCTGATTATGAAAATAATGTTGAGCATAGAAAAAAATTAAAAACTATTTTAAAAGGTGTGAAAAATCATCGCTTACCCTACCAATCAGAGTGAATTACTTATTACCTTTTGATGGATTTCTCTTTCTTTTCATTTATGCATACTCTTGCCATTCACACAAGTAAAAAAGCATTGGCTATCAGGATTCTAGTCCATAGTTACATGAACTTCTGCTGACATGTCTAATATACTTAGACATAGCCCTGCAATCAGTGATGAGCGCAGACAAGTTCTCTCACTTACACTTGTCTTGTTAAGATGCCTTGAAAAAAAATGCCAATCCAAACTATGGTTTCTTAGGGTAGTGGTTCTCAACCTGTGGGTCGTGACCCCTTTCAAATGACCTTTTCACAGGGGTTGCATGATTCATAACAGTAGCAAAATTACACTTATGTACTAAGTGACAAAACTAGTAACAGTTATGTCACCACAACCTGAGGAACTGTATTAAAGGGTCACAGCATGAGGAAGGTTGAGAACCACTGTCTTAGGGGGTCTGGTGAGCCAGATGAGGTTCAGCATAGAGAGATCAGCTCAGAAAAGTATGTTTCTATAGGATTCCAAAGAAATCATCTTGATAAAATTACTGCAAGGAAGGAAAAAGAACTGGGGCACATTAGAAAGAAGTTTCAATACTGAAAACTGCATTGTTGAGAACAAGCCAGGAAATTTAGATACATCTGCTCACTCTTTGTTAGTAGCAAGAATTGCCTTGGGAGAGTCTCTCTGGGAAACATTAGCCCATCCACCCAACAGCGCTGATCTCGCCCCTTTAGATTTCTTGTTTCCCCCAAACTCAAACAATATTTCAAATTGTCATTTGGGTGCAGGATAAGTCTATGAGCACAGACTCTTGTAGGGATGGGTTAGAAAGTTGGGGACTTCTGGGGGATATGTCAAGAAATATATTAGGTTCACGTTTTGATAGGTTTTTTTTATAAAGGTTTCTATGGTTATGTAGCAATACTTCTTGACTTACCCATGTATGGTTTCATATCATTCCATCCTTAAAGCTTAGTAAAGTTAACAAAACAAAACAGAAGTCGGGAAATCCCGGTGAGGGTGCTAAGAAACTGGAAACAACATACTTTACTGGTAGGATTGTAAATGAGTGCAACCACCATTTGGGGCCAATTGGCTGCCCATGTCCTACTTAGAGTGCTCCAGAGTAAAGTTGGAAGTCACTGTGATAGGTCTGCTAAGTATGGCCCAAACCGTAGCCTTTTCAGTGGCCTGAAATGGACACGAAAGCTGCGTAGTGACGAAGGGAGCCCACAGAAGAAGTGATGCATTTGAGTTATGGTGTTGGCGAAGAATACAGAAAGTCCCCAGGATTGACCGAAGAACAAATCCATCTATCTTGGAGGAAGTACTACCAGAATGCTTCCTTGAAGTCAGGACAATATGATGTCATCTCAGGACTTCGGGACATTATCAGGAAAGACCCTTTCCTGAAAAAAAGACATGATACTTGGAAACGTAGAAGGTCAGGGGGGAAAAAAACGGAATAAGATGGATTATCACAGTGGCAACAAAAATAGGTTCAAACGTAACAGTTGTGAACACAGAACAGGACTGGGTGGTGTTTCCTTCTATTGAACATAGAGTTGACTCTATTGCTCTTATTAACAACAGCTAGCTTTTTATGTGTGTTCTAGAAAAATGTCTTTAAGAACGAACATGAAACAACAATGCACTACAACTTCACCCTCACCAGAATGGGTCAAATGAGTCAGAATTACTGAATGGTGGTGAAGACGTGTAGGAGCAAGTGAAGCTCTCAGATATTTAATAATAGAATGGAAAATTGGTTTAGCCTTTCTGTAAAACTACTTGAAAATTCCTACTACAAAGGAGTATGTATCCTCCCCTTGAACCAATCATTCTACTTGGAGATATGTTCACCAAAAGGCTTGTCCTTGAATGTTCATAACACCACTTTGAAAATGGTACAGAGGCCACATCTGACCTCCTCTGGCTACACTAGGAAGAGGAAGAATGTATCTCCACATCTACTCAAGGCTAATTTCTATAAGGAGAGGTCAGACATGACTCCAGCCTCCATTTCTCTTTACCTAATCTGAAATTTACAGTTTCTCTCAGGACACTCTACTTTTCTGTTGGGTTAGAAAATGTATTGTAATGGCCACCCAGAAATCACAGGCAAAACGTATTAGGGAAGTGAATATGTCAGCAAGAGTCAACATCATGAGTAAATGGCAAGGATAGTCATCAGACCACAGCAACAACTCCCCTCAGTCAGGAGCCAAGTCTCCCTGGTCCTTAGCCACATGGTCACTTGGTTTCTGCCTCCGTGGACCAGGAAGCTCATGTGTCACTCCATCTCACTGTCTCAAGATATTAGCTCTCCAGGGGGAAGCCCCTGTATTCTGTCTCAGGATGTCTCCTGTGCTCTGACCCATGGTCTCTGTGGTGTCTCTGGCTTCAGCCTCCACTTTTCCAGATGGGGATTTTGAATGTGTTTAACCAGTGCTCTTCCTTGATGATCTTAGAAATTTTCTCTGCTTCCCAAATGGCTCTTAAACAGAGAAGAATGACTTTGATGGAGGTGTGCTTTTTGTCTTTCAATAGACCATGTCACTTAAAGAACCAATGGGTGAAGACATGGTTTGCACCCTACCTAAGAAAGCTGAAGACTCAGAATACATCCTACCTGAATCGTATTTATGAACGCAACTAAGAGCCTCCTCCAAATGCGATTATCACCACAGAAGGAAGGGTTCGAATTTACAATCCATCACAAAGGAGATTATAGCTAGAAAGGTCATATTGATTGAATACATCTCTGTGACTATCTGAATTTGTGTCCAGCTTTGAGCTACATAAATGACCATAACAGTTGAACAAAAACAATTTAAACAGAAAACTCAATGGGAATATTCGTAAAATGAAATTCTGTACTATAGTCATTGGCATCGAGTGCATTCAATTCATAGTGATACTATGGTACATATTGATACTAAAAGGACCGTGTAAAACTACCCTATAGGTGTGGAATGCCTATTGGTTTCAAAGAGCTGACTTTTCAATGACCATGTGAATGCTTAACCACTATACCATCAGTGATCCTTTGTTCATGTGTTTAACTCAGAAAACAAAGACCCATAGATCATGAAACACCAGAGATGAAGTTTATGTAGCTCATGCTGAGCAAAGCGAGACCCAAAAGAGATTGTGTTATACAGATTTCATGATATAAATTACAGACACATTTCTAGGCAGCAGTAAAACTCACCTATGAGATTAGCAGATAAGTGAATGATTACCTTTGGCAAAGTGAAGTGATAAAATGTTGCATGAAGCGGGCTGATTGTATTGGTAATATTCTTTTTATTGATTTGGATGCTGTTTGCAAAAGGATGTTCAATTTATCAAAATTCTTTGAGCTGCAGTTAACACGAACAAGTTGAAACATGTGGAGAACAAATGAATGGGGAGTCATGACACACATTTAACAAATAGTACCTCCCTCTAATTGACTTATATTTGTCTTCTCAAATTGGCACTGAGCAGTTTCAGAAGGCTGGTGCTTTGTGACTAAGCATGATATTTATTCTGGTTGAGGGACTTGGTTGGGGAAGGGAATGGAAGAGGCATGTAAAATATTTACCAAGCAATCTGCACTTCTGTGTCAAGCAACATTTATTTTGTTTAAAATGTTCAGAAAACTTGGGTGATTGCTTTTCAGACACTGATTTTCCAGTTGCATCTCAGAGCAATTTCCAAGGCATGACTCATTGTGTTTCTCATAAGGAACCTGAAGAAAACCGACCAAAAGAAGTATAATCTTACAGGACACCTTTTTTCATAGCGTCTTAGGGGAAAACTCACTTATAAAGAGAAACCTGGTGGCAGTTAGTCGCATAACACTCTGTGTTTTCCTGATGTACTTTATAATTTGGCGTAATTTCTTTTGGAACAGGTGTTCAATTCAACTTCCATACTTTTCACTTGGAGGATCATCATGACTACTTACTGATCACCGAGAACGGCAGTTTCGCTCAACCCCTGGCCCGGCTGACTGGGTCTGAACTTCCGTCAACCATCAATGCTGGTCTCTATGGAAATTTCAGGGCTCAACTACGCTTCATTTCAGATTTTTCAATTTCATATGAAGGATTCAACATTACGTTTTCTGGTAAGAAAGTAATCGTAAACAAACCATTTAATTTCCATTAGTGGTTAGAAAAATTTTTTTCTTTTTAAGTAATATCGTAGCTTAGGAGTCCTGGGAGCACTAGGATGGAGAGGTTCAAGCCCACTAAAGCTCTCGAACGCTGAGAGATGTGGCATGAAGGTTAGAGCGGGGGAAGCTGCTGGTCTATCCTGCAGGGGTGGTCCACGTTTTAGTCAACTTGACAACACCTAACCAGGCTGTGAGCGGTTTTTTGTTTGTTTATTTTTTTAATACCACCATTTCAACGTATGCTAAGTTCACTCTCTGCCATGGAGTCGAGCTGACTGACAATGACCGTAGAGGACCGGATAGAACTACCCCTGTGAGGTTCCGAAACGGTAACTCTACGGAAGCAGAAGCGTTATCTTTCTCCCTCAGAGCAGCCAGTGGTTTCGGACTGCTGACCTTGTGGTTGGCGGCCCAACGTGTAACCACGGGACCAGCAGCGCTTCTTAATTTGTGATAAAAAGAGAGGGAAACATCAGAAGAGCAGAAAAATGAAAAAGAGGGCATGGAAATGCTTTAACCAAAATCTGATGTCATTAGAATTGTTTACATTAATAAATTGGAAAACTTTTAAAAAGGAAAAGTACATAATTCACTAATATTTTACTGTAAATGCATTGGTTACATTTTTACTTACACTCCTGGAAAAGTGCAAAGGGAAAATATAGCTAAAGCACCTAGCCAACTTATAATAAAAATATCTATTGTAAAATTTCAGACTAGAAAAATTAAATGTGAATTTAATCAATGTTATTTTAGTTTTAAATATCTTGTATATGGCTTAGTTATCAGCCAAATTGTAACAAATTTAATTTGTTATTTTGGAACCAGATAATCTAGAAATACAATAATGTGATTACTTATTTATTCTATAGAATAATTTTATCTAAAGGATATGGAAGGATTTATGTTCTAGAAAGAAAAATAATGCTTTTTATAAGATCAAGTATCATAAAATACACTTTTCCCACTTAGAGTTCTAAGTTCTAATTGAATGTACTGAGACAACTAGTTTTTCCTTAATAATTTATTAATAAAAACATATCTTAAACATTCTTACTCAAAACACAAGACAAAACACACGCACAAATCTTCTGCTGTCTACGTCTACTTGATTCCAAGTCATAGAGGTTTCTTAGGCTTCTCCCCCTTTCCAAGGTTTCTGAGACTGTGAAAGTCTACAGGGAGCAGAGAGCCTCATCATTATCCCACCGAGTGGCTAGTAGGTGTGAATCTCTGACCTTGGAGTTAATAGTCTAAAGCTTGCCTGTCAGAGATTACCATTTGCATGCCTACAAGTACAAAATAATGATATTGAAATTTGGGTATGAGTAAACAGGTTTGTTTGTTTGTTTTTTATGTTAGCAAAAGAAGCTCCAAAGCAAATTCATTGCCGTTAAGTTGAGGCCAACTCATCGTGACCCTATAAGACAGGGTAGAACTGCCCCTCTGACTGCGAGACTATCGTGGTTTAGAAGTGTAGAAACTCTAGTCTTTCTCACAAGGAGGGGCTGGGGGTTTCCAACTGTTGACCTTGCTGATAAAAACTTAATACAAGGAATTAGCAAAATTGGACTCTCGGGCCTAGATTACTGGAAAGAGCCCCATTGGCACAACGGGTTACACATTGTGACTGGGTTACACAATGGGACTGCTCACTCCAATGGCAGCAACTGGAAAGCACAAGGGAACAATCAGACTTTCTGCTTCCCGGAAGCCCACAAGAGCGGTTCTGTCCCGACCGATTGGGTTATGAGTAGGAATTGACTCTATGGTGGCGAATTTGGTGAGATTTGGGAAACCAGTTCACTTATGTAAAATTGAAATATAAATTTATATTGATAGTCTTGTAAACGGTCCTGTTGTTCTTAAAATATTATTAAAGATGGAATTTCCTATCTAGATAAGTAAGGTACTCTCCTTCATGAGAGTAAAAGAGCATAATTAATTTTAACCTAAAAATGCAAATATAATAAAAAACAAAATAGTAGCTAGTCAACATGAGGTAACCCTTCTTGTTCTCTGTTATAACTACACAGGAAGCAGAGACTCTGTGAATACTTTACGCTAAGATCCTTCATTTTAGGACTATATAAATTATGTGCTTTTTATAAGCTTACTTTCTCAGGCCCTGAAAAATACTTAGTTTTTTTATATAGTGTTCATATACTTCTTGGGGAAAATTGTATAAATCTGTAATAGATTAATACTCAGAATGTGACTTTTTTTTATTTTCAAAATACAGGGTCATCGAACTCTTCATAGTGTTATAAGCACGAGTCCTTGTATTTAAACTAAAATCCTTAAGTAAAATTAATTTCAAAAGTGCAAACATTTCATTCCAAATATTATTTTGTGTTTAAAAATATGCATCTAAATATAATTTCATGTTTCTGTGTTGAAATTGGCAAATTGGAAATGTTTTTAATGCATCAGAACAAATGAACTATCTCTACCATTTACCATTCAGAAGGTTACATCTCATTTGTATTGAATGTCGTGCATAAAAATATGCATTCCATTAGATGCTTCACAAAAGAATAGAATGTGTGCCATCGCAGGCACTTGTAATAATGCATGCAGTCACTTTGTATTTATCTAAAATATCCAGTTTGCAGAGTAACATATATACCCCTAACTGTAACCGGCATGGTTTTCTTTGTTCTCCTCCACCCTTGGGGAATCCACGCTTCTCCCTATTTTATAGAATATAATCTCGAACCTTGCGAAGATCCTGGGATTCCTCAATACGGGAACCGAGTTGGCTTCAGCTTTGGGGTTGGCGACACTCTGACCTTCTCCTGCTCATCGGGTTATCGCCTGGAAGGCACAGCAGAGATCACCTGTCTTGGTGGCGGCCGACGAGTGTGGAGTGCACCTCTGCCAAGGTGTGTGGGTACGTGGTCAGCTGCTTTCATTTGCTTGTACGTGTAGTCACTGTCCATGGAGATGCAGGGCACACACGCTGTTGACTTTATTGACTGATTTCACATGAATCATTTCTTTTTTGTTTTTCCAATTTGGGAATCTGACATACCATTGTTAATTCTAACTGATTTATTTATTTTCATTCCAGTACCTATAGTTCTTAATTTGACTTCAGAAGATAGAGATAATGAATAGGCTAGATTAGATTAGATGGAGAGATTGAACAAGATGATATTCTCAGAACTCATAAAAATGATGTCATTGGTTTCTTTAGCTAGTATATTCTGACTGGAGTCCTAGTAGTATTTTAGAACTTATTATTAACAATAAAAGATGATTGTCTCAAAAAACTAGTCAATTAAAGATTGTATCATTTAAAGGATATCAAGACAGTCTGTGCACTCTATGAAATTTATCTGTTATAATATATCATTTAAAATGACACTGCACATCTAGAAAAGCCATAATTGATGTGTTGAAATATGGAATCACTACTTTGAACTTTGGAAGTTATTGTTTCAACTGGTGAGAGAATTGTTTTCTACGATAGGAAACATAAAGAACTTTTTTAGTAAGGACTTTAGTCATGGCGTATTTAAATGAGGAAGGAGCGTGATTGCTGGATTCCGCAGGGTGGGTTCCCACTACAAGCAGCCCTCTAGTTCACACCATGAACCTCTCCCTGCCTGGTCCGGTGCCATCCTTAATGCATGATGCTGGGGAGGCTCATCCTGGAGGTCATTGGGTACCTCCATCCATGAGGAGAGTTCTCTATTCCGCTGAGCCTCACTGCCATGCTTGATGCCCTTCTTTAGGGACTGGCCTTTCCTGATAACATGTTCCAATTATATAAAGCAAAGTCTGCTTATTTTTCCTCCAAAAGAACATTCTGGCTACACCTCTTCAAAGACAGATTGGTTCTCCCATGGTATATTCAGAATTCGTCAAAGGCATTCATTCTTCTTTATTATTCCATACCCTTCGTCTAGGTTTTATATGCATGTGAGATGACTGAAATATCATGGCTTGGGTCACTTAATTGTTAAAATGACATCTTTACTTTGTAACATTTTAAAGAGGTTTTAGCAGCAGATTTGCAAATTAGGGCATAGGAGACAAAAACATTATTAACCATTTAATTATTATCGATGCTTATTTTTTTATGATCAAAGTGAAACTGTCATGCTATAGTTATTCTGTAAAGCTTCTTAAATCCTCCACACCATTTATTTTTAGTTTAACTAGAATATTAATATTATGTCCAGATAAGTTAGAGTATTCCACACAATCAAATAGATTTGCAAAGATTTAATCACTGGTTCAAGTTCTTCTCTTGCCTGGAAGCAGGATGTCCCCACAGATGGAACTGAAAATCTCACTGGTTATAACTGCCCATTGATAGAATGTAGTGATCCCTGTGGGGCCCAAATAAAACCAGAAAATATGATCTCCCAAAATAATGTTTCTATGAAAGTTTTATAGTGATGGAATTCTCTTCACAGCCCCACGGTTATATAACCCCCAAGCTGATATATAACAGATGATTTTTTTTTTTAAGCACAGATTTTTATAGAAATGGCATAAGCAACCAAAGAGGCTTCAAGCTGGGAGGTGATGAGACACCACACTCTTAGACACCTTCTGTCTAAAGAGCTAGGTAGGGACTTGGACACTTGGTATTCCTTCTGCATGTGTTGCTATTGTTCTCCTTACTGCTGCGAGACTTAGCAGTCCCCTCCTTACCTGAATTGCCCTCATTTCCACTTTTGTGTACTCTGAGACTGCTTCCACATGCCCATCAGTGAGAAGTAGGGAACAAATCCAAGTGTGGAGAAAGTGCCTGAGACTGCTTCCTTGCTAATTGATATTCCACCCGAGTCACTTTTCTAACCCTCATTGCTCTCACCTGCTAATGGGTACAATACTATTAGCTATTTCATGACGTGGTTAGAAGACGTAGAGAGTAACCATTTAAATGAGACACCAAGCATCGTCCTGGAATCTAGGAAGCATTCAATATTCAAATAGTGTTATAAGTGCCATTGTTAATATTTTGAATATAACCTGCCATATATTCAGACCAACAATTTATAAAACAACTTATAATAGGGAATGAACTTTATTTAAAAACAAAATAAAATCAACAAACCCAAAATAGTTCAGTTATGAGCACTGGGGAGGCTATGTCATATCGTTGTCTTATGGAATCAACAGACCAATTCCAGGACTGTTATTCTTCCATGCCACTTTCCTTCAGAACCACCGAAACCTTAGTGATCTCCATAACTGGTCCAAGATCAAAAAGTCATAACTAACTGAACCAGGATCGATAAACAGGACTCATTCCAAAGTCTAACATTTTCTCAGAAAAGTTGAAAAAAAAGTGAATCAAGTAGAGAAAGAATCTTCTCTCAATGTAACAAATCCACACCAAATTGCCACATAGGCTGAGAAGAAATTACTTACATGTATATTTTGAAGTTTAGTTCCCATTTACAATATAGTTTACAAATAGGCTGAGAAGAAATTAATTACATGTATATTTTTGAAGTTTAGTTCCCATTTACAATATAGTTTACAAAATGGGTCTGTTAAAAAAAACCCTGACTTTGCAAATTAAAAGTGACTTAAAAAAAGTTAGTTTTGTTTATATATACATATTTAATAGTTATTTAGTTGTGCCTAAATTTTTAATGGGAAAGATGGGGCCGGCGGGGGAGAAACGCTCTGTGGACAAATTTAGAAAACAAAGATACTGCCATGGGAAATTCTCCTATTTTCAAATTAGCTGTGCTGGCTTTTAAACTTATTGAAATTTACAATTAAGTCTATTACCCTTAATGAATTCTACTGTAGGTACATATTTAAATTAGAGGAGGGGTGAAGTATTCCTTCAAGTCAATTTAAATTTTTTAATTTGTATTGTTTCTTGAATTTTTCTTCACTGCTTTGCCTATGCTTTAAATCAAATATGTTTCTTATTAGAATTCGGCTTCTACCTATGCATTTGAATATATTTCTTCCTTGCCCGAGTTTAAACTATGCACTATCTTCCTATCTTTTCAATTACCTCATATGCATGTGAACCCTGAAAAATGAATAAGGAAATCCAAAGAAAAATTGCTGCCTTTAAATGATGGTGTTGATGGGGAATGTCGAATATATTTCATGGACTTTGAGAAGAAAAAAACAATCTGTCCCAAGAGAGGTACATCCAGAAATCTCCTTAGAAGTGAGGAGAGCAAGACTTCCCTGGAGGGCATCACGCTTTGTAAAGTTGAAGATTAGCATAAAAGGGAAAGACCCTCAATGAGTTGGATTGACAGAGTGACCACAGTATTTGACATAAACCTGCAGTGGTTCTGGGGACGCAGGATTAGGTAGTATTTTGTTGTTTTGCACACGGGGTTGCTATGAATTGGACCCAGCTCAGTGATTTCTATTCTTATTTCTTATTTTGTTTTGTTTACCAAGTTCACACTCTTTAGTCACATAATACACATTATTTTTAAGTATTCACTATTGTTACTGTTTTAATTTCTTAACTACTAAGTAGATACCCAATTTTGGCAGTACTACAATATTTGGAGAGTTTTCATTTCTTCCTAGATTCTCTGTCTTCTGTCTTCATAGACAGCTAATACCAGTGCTCTATTTAACTCTTGCTTCCTAATTGTTGATTGTCTCATTTTGACCACCTCATAAGACCTTTATGTTATAGACCATAGTCAAATAAGTAGGTTGTTGTCTCAAAAAGTCTCCTGTTATGATTATTGGGAATCAGCACTCTCTTTTCTGTGACTCAGGGTTGCACATCAGAGACTCTTTCCCGAAACCAAACCACAGATGAGATTTTAGATTCTATGTAAAGCATTGCATTACTATTAACATTTAGTAACATGACCTAGACATATAGAGATGCTATAAAATGGGGCTTGACTCTAGGCCGTCAGGCAACTGATGATGTCAATTTTGGAGCCCTACTTTTTATTTTTGTTTATAGAGTAATTAAAAAAAAAACCTTTATGAATACATTCATTCATTTTAGTAATTCTGAAGAGACTCATCATTTATATGTGAAGATAATATTTTAACAAAAACTAAAATATAAGATTATCACGTTGTAGTGTTTTATAAATTACAAGGATTATATTATGTGATATCTCATTTAAACAAATCCATCCAAGGTTTGAAAAAAAAATTCCGCATAATTATTTCCCCAGTGGAAGACAATCTCTTTTAAAACTTAAGGTTCTACAAAAGAAAGGGAAAAAGAAGGATGGGGGAGACAAAATCCTGTGCCCTGTCCACAGAAGCGTAATGATGCTCCCGCAGGAGACTCTGATAAAGTTAGGTGAACAGATAGCCAGCTTCATAGTTCATCTATGAGGTCAGAGAAGTCCTGGTGTTTGCTTTTTATTTTAATCCGAGGAAAACTTCTTTGACGACAATCTGTTTATGGGGGTTTCGGAGAGGGAATTCCTAAAGTGCAGCGAGCCCTGATTGCAAAATGGTTACCTGTCCGTAGTTGGAAACCACCCACTTGCTGCTCTGCCAGAGAAAGGGTTACAGTCTTGGGAACCCACGGGAGGGGGGGGTGGTGAGGGGGGGTGGAGCAGTTCTACGTACTCTTGAGTCACTTTGAGTCGGAATTGAGTGGATGGCCATGATAAAGTGCTGAGAATTTGAAGCGTCTAAGTGAGAACCTTGATAAAAATTGGGAGTGAAAACATCAGCTCAGAAGTAGGAATTCTTCTTCCTAAGTAGAAAGCACTATTGTGGGCTTATAGGTCATATTTACACTCCAGTTCTGCTTAAATTGCGTTATTTTTGCAAGTTATTCAAACCTTATTTCTTCCGAGTTTTCTGAGACATGCAATGTGGATAAGCACATCTTATTTCAAGATAACATTGACCAATAACAATTGGTTAAATGTTCATCACTAATGCACTGCCAAGCACATGGCA